ATACTTTTCTATTTGAAGATTAGCATGATAAGCAAGATTAGTGTAAAAAGGTAAGCTTCATTCTTTATAGATTTATTCTTTAACTTTTTTGATTGACAGAGATGTGCCACTTGCTGGTATGTAGTTTTATTTCCTCTCACACGAGCACATAATGTAGCCAATGGCTGTAATCTTTGTGTTCATGTCTGACTTTTAAGATTAGTGTGTTCAACTTGAACCATGGAAGCAGCCTGTGATCAGTGAGCAGCCGATCATAAGCGAGGGCGAAGTTGAAAACAGAGCCTTCAAGCCAGACACTTCTGGGCTCAAAGTTGCGGCAGTCATGATGACCGATCACATTGCGTCGTCATAGTTTAATTTTTTTATTTATAACAACAAAAGATTTACAGTACAGAATATAAACAGAATACAGTCTTTACAAACTATAGTTCATTTTTAAACAACAAGGGAATTAGGAATTAAATCCGTAACAAACGCATGAGAGAAATAAGGGGAAACGAGAGGTTAATATAAACATAAAAAAGGAATAGGCTTATTAAATGCAAAGCAATAAGCACAAATTTTAAGAGTTTAAAAATCTAAAAGTTCTTTAGGTTAATACTTCTTGTTTGAATGTGCTAAAAAGGGGTTTACTTTTATTTACATTTATAGATAGGAAACTTTCCAATATATATATATATATATATATATATATATATATATATATATATATATATATATATATATATATATATATATATATATATATATATTAGTGTGTTATGTGTTTTAAATAAATCTTTAACAATGAATTGGATTGTTTTGAATAATGAAAGCATTTTAATAAAAGCGCTTTAATCCAAAAAGATTGAACAAAAGGACATTCCCAAAATAAGTAAGCTACACTTAAAGTAGAAATTTCCCACAAAGAACAGGTACATCAGTGTCACTTTTTAAAATTTATGCATAAATGTCTTGACAGGAAATAAAATATTTTTAATCATATAAATAAATGTATAATTATGCAATAAAATAGTTCTTAAACTTAATTTGTTAACAAACTTTTAGAATGGCAGGATAACTGATGATAATTATTTGAGGTAAAATTTAGGTTATTCACTAAAATAAATAAATACTTTAAATCATTTATGGAGCTGAATGCACTAAATAGTCTCTATAAAAAAGGTTGAAAATAAACCTCTGTAACAATCTAGCCTTTATAAACTAGTTATTTAACAAAAGATACTGCAGTAAAACATGTATAGTCTGTTAATAAGCATGATATACAAGATAGAGATGGTATAAAAAGTTAACATACATGGATGTTGTCATATGGTGAACTCAGCCAATGGTATTATATCAGTGTAGCCATCGCAGCTCCTGCAGTCACTCTTCAGATGCTGGACCGGCGGAATCAATCGTCTGATCTTGGAGCACTGACGAGGTACTTTGATGCCACATGTGACAGTCACGTGGCGTTTGCGCATCGTCAAGCCGTACAAAATTTTGAACCTGCATGCACCTCTTTAAGACTTTAGGTCTGCGCAGTGCTGCATGAAGTTGAATGCCCCTAATGACTCAATTTAGACTTTTGCACTCTGTATTTTATTATTTTTTTTTAGTGTACTATTTAGCTGTACTTTAAAATCTGTTTATTTGACAAGGCATACTTAAATAATTAGTTTAAGTAACTTCTCATCATTAAGTAACAAACTCATCATTATATGTGATGGAAGGATGTCTGTGTGTTAGAGAATGGAATTGTATTTGTCTTATTATGACATATTAATGTAGATTATATGAACATTGCAGTAGCAGCAATATAGAGTCTACAAATGCTGTCTGAAGAGGATCTCTCTTTTATGTGGTAGTCTCATTTAACTACTGATTACCCACATACACATGTCTTCATGTTGGCCTCTGTGCCCAGGATAATATTAATTTCATTTGTGCTTTCTTATAAAAAAAAGCTGAAATCTCATTTCATTCAGGCTATATTACGATCCATAACGGAAAACGAAGTGTGGGTCAGAAAATGGTATGTTTATTAAATTCAATACACAGCTAAATTGGTGTTTTCATATTTGACCAGAAAGAGCAGGAACGCGGTGTGGAGGTGGAAGATCGTTCTTTAAGATGGACAACATCTTATTGCATCATTATCATCACCATCATGATCATCATTACTGTTTATGAGTCTGGTAATGATGTTAGGGTTGGTAATGGATCCTGCGCCAACAAAAGCAATCTTAGCAATACGGCAGGAGCCCCACTGCTCACCGTCATCAGGGTAAAAATGGTGAAATGTTCCAGAGATTTCTATCGTTTCATTATAGCGCAGCCTCGCTATCTCTTGCTACACACGTACCCTCATTCAATAGTCTCGTAGCTGGGAATAGGCCTTAATGTGCCATGTAATACAGCATTATTCCCATAGACTGGCACGCTGACGCCCTTGGTTGAATGCCAGAAAGTGCAGCACTCATGGCCTTCAGCTCACCCTCATTCACACTGCCTCACTGCAAGTGCTCAAAAGCTTGGGGCTCATTTAGTTGAAGTCATGATTATACAGGTGTGTTGGCAAACGTCATTTTGCTCGTGAGCTGAATGAGATGAGTTTATATGGGATCTTGTGTCATGGTTTTGCTTGGTGAAATACAAGCTTTCTGAGATGCATTGGGAGTTCTTCAGTGTTTAGCATGACTCTCACGTCATAGAGGCTGTACAATAAGAAATAATTCATGTTTGGCATAAAATTAGCATCGACTGGGTGATGAGTGAACATGCAACTTTAGAAATCTCGCTGTGTAAACCTCTAAATGCCTGAAGGGACAGCATTGTTTAACGATGGAGATGATGATAAAATGTGTTTGTGCCTCTCGTTCTGGAGGATATTTTTTGCCATGTCATAATGATCTGACATGTTTAAAAAAATTAATTTTTATCTTTTCTTAAAATTCTTGATGTTTTCTCTTCTGTCTATTCCCCTCCCTGAACTTTCCAAGCAGCAAAACTGCAAAAATGTACAACACATGCGGTCTACTTGGAATATAACCATATTTAGTTGTGCTCCATTGATTATCATCTAGAGGAACAGTCTCAACCAGATTTTACAGACTCCCAGATGGACATACAATCTTAAACCGTCTGAACAAAACAAATGTGACTGCATATGTAATGTGATGTCTTTGTGCAGCCTTTTTAAAGTTCATCTCTCACACTTGATCAAAAATTAAACTTGCTCGAGACTGTGAACTTGTTAATTAGGCGGCTGTTTCACAGCAACAATACTGAAGCATAATGTTATGTACAGTAGCTATTATAGAAAATGATTATGACAGGGGTGTTGAAGCATAAGTGTTTCCAAGAAATCTATTTAACATTAGCTCGCTATATTTAAATAAATGTCAAATAGACATTTATTACTTGATTAACTGACATTATTATGCATAGCTTATTTGTATTGTAAGATCTGATGTACATTCACCTGCCAATACAAGGCTTGCAATATATGCATGTATCAAAAACATCTCTTCAGAGGGTTAATGTTTATGTATTTAGGGTTAAAATGGTTTAAAATAAATCAGTAACTTAAAGGTCCTATTTAGTTTTTTAGATGTTAGTAGCAGTATTATTCATTTTTAGGATGTCTATTAGCTAGTGTTCCCTAAAACAGTGACAGAATTTACATTTAGAAGATAAAAGACTAAGCTTATTGTTTATCACTTCCACCCAATTGGATTAACGGTTTTATTCACGTCACCTCACAGTACAGTTTCTCATCTCATAATAACCAATCAAATACTCTCTAGTATGCCCCCTTTAAGACGCTTCTCATTTACTTTTCATTTAATAAATTACATTAATCAAAGAACTGTGAATAAGCTGTGATTAAAACAAAACACTATTGGCAGTTTTTTTTTAAAGGGCAAGAGCTAGTCTGTCACCCTATCATAATGCTTTGGTTGAGATTGCATCAAATATCAAATACAAATGCATATTTCAAAGGAATTTACAGTGAAAAAGACTCCGTTTATCAAACACATTTTATTTCCGGTCAGTTCTATGTTTTTCATCTTTTCCTCAAAATAATTGTATAAAAATCGTATATTTAACTAGGTCATGTACAGTATATGTTCATGCTTGTGGGTATGTACCGAAAGAAGGTCAAAATCAGTTTTCTTTGTCTGTAGTGCTGAAAGACTAGGCTTTTAAAATGAACATTGTCTAAATATGAGTCACACACACAATCTCAGTTTGTCTTTTGCAAGCTGACAGTTCTGTGGTCCTACAGCCAGAATAAACAGGGTATGCCCATATCAAAGTCATGTTTCAATGAAGTCATCTTTCAATCAGTGAAGTTTTGCAAATACTCCAAGCCAAAGCAAACACAGTATAAGCATACCCTACCTCCCACTTGTTTTTTCTCTACTTTTCTGCATGTCGGTGTTCGAAGTAAATCAACTCCATGTTCTGGATTCAGATCTAATGACATAAGATTAGGCAAAAGATGGAATTAAGCTAATTGTTGTGCAGATGTCTTGACATTATACCTCACTACTTGGCATAAGCTGAAGTTTGACATTTAAGTACATATCTGTTACATCACAACAGTATGTGAAACCAAGTTGGTGCTGACAAGTTCACAAAACTTTATTGTCTTTTGTTTGTTTGATTATTTGTGTGTATTGATGTGTTCTGTCTGTGATTTGTCAGCATTGATCAGAAAAAGTCCATGTGCTCTATGGTAGAGCCTCTTGGCACTCCTCTTGTATAAGAGTTCTGTAGATGAGTTGTCTGGCAATGATACTGAAAGTAATGAAAAAAAATGTTCAGTGCTGCTTGCATATCTTAGTATTCTGATACAAAGAGCTCTGATATTAGCATACACACTGCATATTGTTAGCCCTGATTTTTTGGTTACAGTTTAGACACCACTGTGGGAACTCTGAGTAACTGATATCACTGTGGTCAATATGTGTTGTGTTGCTGATAACTTACATCTGATGCTTTGTTTATAGGAGGGTGATTTTCTGGTACGAACCCACCATGTTGAGTACTGTGATGGGGGAATTCTGGACCCTGATGATGTGCTAACAGACCTGGTAGAGGACAAGGACAAGGTAAGGCCAAGTGAAATAGTTAGGTGTTAATACTTGGAATAATAATCCACAAGGTGATGTGTTTATTGTGTTATATGTGGATTCATTGTTGAAGGCGAATTGCTTTGCAAACGGTCTTTAGCGAGCAACTCTAATCATGGCCCTTTAAACACAAAAAATGATTGTAAACAATTGGTCATTGCTGTTTACTTGGTTGGAATGTGATCTGCATGCTCAGCGGGTCTAACATTAATCCTACTTCAGTGTTTAATTTGGAATTCAGGGAGTTCTTCCTGTACCCATCAGGATTATGAAATTATGTTTGGTCTACAAAGTAGTCTAGTCTACAAGTTTTTAGTTTTTTTTTCTAAGAAATTAGTTCTGTGTCCACTTAATAAATTTGTAATTTGCATTAGCTTTTAAGGAGTGATGTAACGGATCACAAATCTCACGGTTAGGATCGTTTTTTATTCACGGATTGGACCATTTCAGCCAAAAAAAGGATTATACTGTTTTTGTTTTATTACAAAAACAGTACTGCAAGAAACTTTTGGTTTTAACAATGAGAACTTGAAATGAAGAATTAAATCATTCCAAATAAATGAAGAAATAATCAGCTGATAAAGAATAAATTGTAAGATATTCAGTACTGTGAACATTTCACCGTTACTACTACTGTTGCTGATAGCATGTTTAGTTTTAGTCTCATTTTCAAAAAATTGTTGAGTTATTCACGAATAAAACTTCATGGTTCATTGCTAGATTAATATTTTTGAAGAAATATTCACTGCCATAATTTTGATGGTTGATTGTTGCCACCTATTATTGGTTGAATAATGTAATTGTTGCCTACAACTTTCATTTTTGAGCTACAAGTTAAATGCATATGAAGGTGATTTGGAATATACAGTGGTTTTATCTAAACTATAAACTGTTATTCCAGTACTTCTGTGTTATTTGACTGTTTGTAACGTCATAACTTACTCAAGATAAAGACTGAATCTCTTTCTTGATTTTTGCATTTTTCAAATACAGATTTGAATGCAGCGAATCGAAGGATTAATAAACATGCAAATCATCATCATTTATAATTTATGTGGCACGGGTGTTGCGATCGCAATCTTTTAAAGATTAATTATGCGTCTTACACTGAATGCATTGATGCAAGCTAAACAAGTAGTGACAGAAAACACCTTTAATAACCTAAGAAACCCACCACATCCCGACTAACCTACCACAACTTTATCTGTCATCATTATATTTTACAGAAAAGCCTAAATGCTTTCATACATGTTATATGAATGACGTGAGAGGCGATCTCTCTGCGGTCATTACAAATTTAGGATTAATCTACAAGTGTAAAAAAGTATTAATCTGTGAGTCACGTGTGTTTCAAACCATCAATTGTGATCCGTACACACACCTACTTATAAGAGTCATTCTTTTGTGAATGCAGTTACAGAGGTCATAGTGTATTTACATTTTACCCTGTTGTGTCCAACCTTTTACTACAGACTGGAAGTTTTCATATAATGCAACACATGCTTTTTTATTTCTTATCCTAATTCATGATGAAATTTACCAGGAGTTTGTTTGTTTTTATTTAAAAAATTGTTCAGTGGTAGAAAAATCTGAGGCAGTAGCTATGCATTGACTTTTCATGGTATTTGATGCATAATAATGGTACAATCCAACCCATTTGCGGTTAATGTCAGTCATTCCAGAACAGCAAAATGGCATATAACATCAGAACACATTTACTCTCACAGACGTTGTGAGAAAATGTGAGAATTTATGGAGAATGTAATAAGGTTAGTTTGCAGTGCAATATGTGGCAAATATATGTGCTGTGAAAAGAGAAAATGTTAAAATACATTACTGAAAGTGAAGTGCTTTGCTGCCTTTTTATAGACGTTATGATGAGAAACATGTAACCATAATATTTTTATTACCTTTAATGGCCATGACGGTCTTTCTTTGTTTATAATGAAAGTGCAGGATATGCTTCACCGGTTCATATGGAAAGCACATCGTTGACATTTGCTTGAGAGGAGGCCATTTGGACCCTCTCTGAGGAAAGAGTGGTCTCTCCAATGAGCCCTTGGGTATTCTGTTTGTCCTTTCTCTGTATGGAGGTTATTATATTGAGCTGTGTGGCCGCTCCTAACTCAATAACACAAAAGGGCATTTGCCTCCTAATTGAATTCTCTCAGACATCAGATGCAAAGCTTTTGATTTCTGCACACTAATTAATAGAAGTGAAGGCACAAAGCATTATGGGTGGCATGATCTCTCTCCCTCTCTATCTCTTGGAGCAAGATGATTTCTGGGATATCACTTTATAATCAAAGTGTGGAAGTGTTTTATAGGCTTTAGCCACAGGGAATGCAGTCCGTTTCTGAGGAATAATTTGCATATGAAAGATGAAAAATGGTCATGATTTAAAGATTATGAGTGGGACTATTAGCGTAGAGATGATAGCGCCCAGCATTTCAACTTTCAGACTCCTCATAATTGGTCCTAACATATGCTATTTTTGTGCCATGTTGTAATTGCAGTGGACTCTGTGCATAATTTATTCCAAGTTATGATAAAAATAAAATTATGCACGTAATTTTTTCTGCTGAACATGCATAAACCATGTTAAATTGCATTCTAAGCATTTCTCATATAAAACTCTTTAAAGTATGCTTAATATAGAATGCATGTATTGTTTTCTGTCATGTATAAAGTATGCATCATTAACAAGGTGTTGTATACATTGAATTTGATATTTTATTACAAGTTTTATTAAATTAACTACTACAGCAATTCTATACAGGGTAAAAAAGTTCAGAAAATAGTTATTTATTCACACCGTGTTAAAAAAAATGAGGTGAACTAAATATTTATGGCTTAAAACAAATGTAAACTTCATGGGTCTATATTGCAGGTCTCTAGATTTGTTGCCATCCAGGTGACTGAAAATCGTCCATAAGGCCCAAGCAGCAACCTTTCAGTTAGGGCTGCACAATATATTGCTTCAGCATCGATATTGCAATGTGCACATCCGCAATAATATAAAAATATGCAATGAATCTCAATTATAGTTAACCAGGAGCTACAGAACACTAGTTGAACCAAAATAGAGTGAAGGTTTATCATTTGCTCATTATTTAAGGCCTGTGAATGAGCATTTCAAGAGAGTTTAGAACATTTGCACACAAAAAAGATTTATATGATTTTTTTTAATCACAATAATTTATTTGTTATATGTAATTTTATTAAGAACATAATGCACTCTGGAATGTCAATGCCTACATTTCATAAAGGGCATTTACTAATACAGACTTGTACTTGTATTAAATAGTATGCAATAGTATTTGGAAGTGATTAACATTTTCCTCCTGTAGAAAAATGGTATAATAATAATGCCTAATGTGGCTGAATGCGTTTAAACAGTTTTTTTTTTTAAATGTCCAAACTCAGTAAACACATTATTGAAAAAGCACATGTGGTCAGAATACACACAAGTCACATTGAACGAAATGTTAGGTGTTTACCGAAATAAAAAAACAATCTAAGGAAAATGCAACCAGGCTTATAGAATTAAAATGATTGATTTTATTTTATTTGACATGTTTGCATTTATGAAGAAAAAGTGTCGTTATGGATGTGACACATTTCCGTTATGGATGTGACAGCTGTGAAATTGCCACTTGTGTGATTTTGGCAAATTAAATATAATAGTTTGAAATACTGACAGATACATTTACGAGTATTTTTAAAGTACTGTAAAAAACTTGCTAACACAAAAAATGTAGAAACGGTTTCTCTATTTTGGAGAAAACTAAATTATTTTTTATGGCAAGGTTGACATTTGCATGGAATTGCCCATATATATATATATATATATATATATATATATATATATATATATAAATGTGTGTGTAAATAAAAAAAAATTACACATACCTTAGGAACGGTATTACAAAAACGTTATTTTTTCAACCCACGGTATACCCATGTTTCCATGACTTCTCTATGATAAGAACCACATAAGGTACCAGGGCCAGTGTGAAAGATAACTAGGACAGTTGATGGATTTATTCCAGTGTATCATTCTGAAGTTTGAAATTCTTGCTACTATGTCATGAATGCTAGTTAAGAAAAAAGATACAATGCCCTTGGTTAATAATTTGTAATCTATATTAAATAAATACATGAAATAGAAACCTATTGTATGCATTTGTGCTATTGCTTGTGATTTGCTTGTTTGTTCTTTGTTAAAGACACATTATTTATGCATTGAAATCAAAATTAGATTTGAGAATTTCAGTGGAACTTACAATTTTGATATTGCACGAATCTTATTTACTACTTTACAAGATTACATGGGTCCAAACAAATATTCAAAAACAATAAGTTGATTGATTTGTTTGTGGCAGGGCCAGTAAAAATATCTGCAGTGCAAGTAGGGATGTCCTGATCAGCATCTACTGATCTACTGATACTGAAACGCGATCCGATGCTTCTGTCATTCATTCATTCATTTTCTTGTCGGCTTAGTCCCTTTATTAATCCAGGGTCGCCACAGCGGAATGAACCGCCAACTTATCCAGCAAGTTTTTTACGCAGCGGATGCCCTTCCAGCTGCAACCCATCTCTGGATCTGGACATCCCTAAATGCAAATAAAAAAATAAGAATACTTGCAAAACTGGATCATAAGTAAGTCTCCTTAGCATTAGTTTTAAGTTTAAATAGTTCATAATTAAAATGACAATTTAGTTTTATTGCCAAAAACTGCAAATGTTTATAAACAACTAATTCACAAAAGTTGATGAACATGCATTTAAAAGTTACAGTATACTGATTTTAATTTCAGAAACGTAAAAAAATAAACTGTGATTCGCAGTGATTCAGATGTTGATCCAAGAACTGCTCTGACTGATTCAGCCAAATAATCTATGATTCATTTGGTGTGATAAATAACCTGATTTTGAGGGATTAGTCTGAAAATGACTGCTGTTTGCTCTTCTGG